ATATCGAAAAAACACTGTAAAAATTTGAAGACATTTTACCGCCAAATTTCCGAGATTTTTAATTTCAAAAATCGCGCACAAAAATTAGTCAATTACGTCATCAAAATAAAATTTCTACAAGATCCGTATTTGCGCATGTGCGAAACTGAGCGAGCGAGGTAAACATTTGTGCTAATACAAACCCACCGACCATCCATGATATTGCTGAATTTCTCGTGGAATTACCACTCGCAGGCTCATCGATAATGCACGAAATATTAAAATTGAACTTGTTTTGAGCTTCACTTGAGTCGTTAAAAGGCACTGATGTAATTGTTTGGACATTTTTTTTTGGATTATTTGCAGTGTTCTTTTATTCCAGCATGTTTTGAAAAGTAATTTTGCGACATTTTTTGAAACTGCTTGGCGCACCGCCATCTTTATTTTGTTTTTCGTGGCTTTAAAAGCTCGCGCCATCATAAAACTCGTTCCCATTTCCCTCGCGGTAAAAATTAACTATATGGAGCTACCTTAAATTCCAATTCGGAAAATCGAAGTTTTAAAAAAAGTTKAAATCAATTTCCAAAAGTAGGCAGTCACCTTAATGTTCCTTTAGAATACATTGATTCAAAGACGGGCGATTTTCAGCAATGGGTGTCTGCTCCATGCTGTATATCAAAAATACATTTTAGCTTGTCCGACGTAGCAACAGTAACTAGGGAGGACAATAAACAAGGGATCGGTAAATTGTCTGTTGTGTGTCCCTACTTAGCACATTAATATAGTTAAATAAAATGTCACGTTTTTCTATCTAAACATTCGTTTTACCTTACACGCTCTGACCATCGTTCTCTATCTGTATGTTTGCGCGCATAAAATAATCCTAAAAACCATTTAATTTTTTTTCSATTTTTCCAATTTCATCCATTTTTTTTCCAGTCTTTAAAAGAAAAGCGGATTACTAACATGACAACTCTTTACTAAATATTTTAGTTATAAAGAAAAGACAAGTCTTTTTGTTTGTAACGTCTTTATTCCTCGTCTATTGTTACTGAGTATAACACTAGGGTAGGCTGGTATTCCAAGGACAGGAATCTGATTCTCTACCCCTGGACGTAGTTTAAAGAGCATTACCGTGTTTCTTGATTTTTGTTATTATTTAAAATTGTACATTGTACTTATTATTGCAATACTAAAAAAAGAGAAAAACTAGACAAATATGAATATAAAGAATTTTATAATATTTGAATACTGCCMGAAACAAACTTAGCGATACTAACCTTAAGCTCTGATGGTAGCTTTGCTTGAAATRTTCTTATTTTCTTGAGACTTAAGCATGTCCGCACATGCGTCGTAACGAAGCAAGTGACAAGAGCAAGCAAGTGACGTCAATTTGACGTCATGACCAGCTGAGCCAGGATGCTTTGTATAGTATCTTTTACGCATGTGCGGATATGCGACTTTACATAGAAAGCGACGTTGACGTAACGTCATGACACAAGCTAATCCAGAATGCTTTGTTTTCGATCTAACATTTATTAAAAACCACGCAAAGCATTATGGATGCGTTTGGGTCAAAATGTGAAAAGCTATAAATAGCATAATAACTTGTTATAAATAATAGGATTWTTGGGCTAATATCTAAATTAGAAGATGGTCCATATCACTAGTTATGACTAGTTRTCCTATTTGCAAGAGAACAAAAGACTCATCTCATCCCTAGACAGTTTGCCATCCTTATTGGTGTCAAACATTTCAAGAATTTGTGTCCTAATCCCCTCCAGGTCCGCTTGGGTTATTTCCTGTGAACGCAATTAGTATCAGGATTAATTACATAGCGGTCGGAATATTTTATATCGTGCACATTATAATTTTCTGACATGTGACATCGTAATGCCTTCATCATATTTTACAAAATGTGACATCATAATGAAAAGCATGTGTCGCAACACTGTGACACCATAGCGCAGAATAGAGGCTTTGCACCATCACGTGATGGCAGCMATGACAGGAGGCACAACAATAGAGCATTTTCCCCCCAGAGAAAGTGAATTCTTTCTCATTTAAATCAGACTAGACCAGATTCAATTGTTCCTGCCTCCTTTCATGGCTGCATGCCATCATGTGATGGTGCAAAGCCTCTATATGTTATGAGAAGTGACATCATATTTTATAAAATATGACATCATAGTGAAAAGCATGTGACGTCATATCATGCAACACTGACACCATAGTGCAAAGTATGTATGCATGCAAAAAATGTGTAGTCATCATATAAACGTGTGACATGCATATTTTACAAGATGTGACATAATATTTTACATTTGACATATTTGCCATAATGCACAACATKTGACGTCATCTATTTTACCGCGTATGACATCATAATACACAACGTCATGTATGTGGTAAGTAATGATCATATTATCGAACTCCTGCATGTCCTAATTGTTATTTCCTTATGTATAGAAGAAAACGTACCTGGTTTTTGTTTTGCTGCAGAAGGATATCCCTTAGCAGAGCAGTTATTTCATCGCCTTCGATCTCACCACTATTATCCTGCAGAAAATTATACGATAGACCAAATTCAAAACTTGCACCTATTGGAGCCTTAAGTTGTGATCAAAGGAATCTGGCGTGATTCGTGACTTTTGAATCACGCCAGATTACTTTGAGTCACGCCAGATCCCTTTGTTCACAACTTAAGCCTCACATCGGTGAGAGTTTTGAATTTGGTCTATTGTTACCCCTTACTTCGTGCAATAATTTTAATATTGACTTCCATTTGAAACACTTGATTACTTACATCATCGTAGTGATTGAAAAGTTTGTTAAAGTCTTCTTTTGACAGCTCGCTTTTACCCTGCMGAAAGAAATGTTTATTATTAGCTTCTGACTAATTTTGAGGATCTTTCTGTTCTACAAGTAAGTTTGGTATTTTTTAGTTCTAGTCACCGACTAGAGTACTTGGGTCCTAAATTAATCTCTTTACCCTTCCATAAATCTTTCTTAAGACCTTCAAGTTCTTAAATAAAAGGTTCAAATTTTATCGATGCCTTGGAGCATACTATGTCTGGGCTGATCAAAGTCACGTCACAGCCAACGCGCGAACGACCAAWTCGAAATTAAAATAGAAGAATTTGATATTTTTAAATTAATGAATTTTAATAATTCCTAAGTTGATAATTTTTTAATTTTCCATAGAGTATTTTTTACCACAAAGTAATAAAATAAGCAAACATAAACGAATTGAAGAAAAGGAACGCACAAAAGGAAAAAAGAAATTCTTGCAGCRAACGAACGAACGAACGCGGAATAAGGATACAATGTATATATACCCTGAACTGCTCGATAAAGTTRTCTTCAACGTGAATGAATCTGCAAAAAACGATATTTGAAGAAATGATAAAATTTTAAACATGAATATGATAATAGATCGAAATTTAAGTTAAAAAGTTCTATATTTGTTTACATTCGTACCTTGCTAGCTCACTGAGTTCAAACTTGCCATCTTTGTTTGAATCATACAGCTCAATCTTTAGAAAAAATTGAATTTATCAATGAGARATTAATTAATWAATTAATTAATTGTTATGATAGACCCCTAGCTTAGGCGTATTTTTTTTCCATTTTATACCACGTCATTTTTCTAAGAATATCCATATTCATGTGTTATCTCATGCGCAACCGTTAAACGAAGAAATACAACCATTGCTGGGAGTGGCACTTGGGCTGAAATGGGAAAACTTTACGCCAAATCTTATAATGTCAAACTTGCACGCATTTTGATATAAACGTGGTCCCATTACTKGGAATGAGGAACTCCACAGTAGTCAGTTGAATGATTATCTAGCCATAACCGAAATATTAATGTCTTTGAGGACTTGAACATATATAGGTGTTATTAAACTTTGTAAAAGTGGTCCCATTCTCGGGAATGGGGTACTCCACAGGAAACATTTTCATAATTCTTTTATACAGCAATAAAAAGCTCTTTGAGGCAATTGATTTTGTGTAACAATCTCTTAAGTTGCAAAAGAGAAAATAATACTCACGTATGAGCTCACAAGCTCCTTCACTTGCTGGGGCTGGACGTTTTGGTTATAGGGTTGCAGCATTTCGTAGAAAAATCCCTTTAGAATCAAAACAAAGAAACGTCAATCCTTTTAATACAAAATTTGAAAAAAATAAATTTATTAAAAATTTATAATTATTAAACTTATTAAATCTTATTAATACTTTAGCTATTTGGTTTTCTTTTTTTTCTTCTTAGCTTTTCGTAGTTCATATTTCTATTATTACTATAATTTATTTAGTTTTTAGATCAATATATAGGTTACTTATATTTATGTTTTTGCTTCTTTTCATACTGTCATGGGAGGCTGATAAAAGTTTTAAATGTAGCAGTTAATTTTTGCTTATATATTATACTTGTATCAAGATATGATAGCTATCGATAAATGAGATAGGATTAATTGTTACCATAGTTACAATCAATTAATTACCAAACATTTAAGGGGTCACGTATCTTCCCTCCCCTTACACCAGTGAGTGGATGTTCACAACAGGTAAATGAAGATTGTTTTATTTTGTTTTCTATTTCTAAGATGTTTTYCCGGAAATTTTAAGTCCAGCAAAGCTGTTCGGCATTATTATCATTGATTTACCTCTAACTCGTCTTGTTCAAGGAAACCACTCTTATCCACATCATAGTGAGTCCAGATCTAGTACAACAGAAACAGATTCATCTAGTTTAATGGCTATTGCCTTTAATGGCAAAGCAGTTTTACGGCATGTTATGAACAGTGAATTGCTTTTTGCAGGACGAGAGTTTTTATTTAGCAAAGATGTATGTAATGTTTACAACTCGTGAATACACTCCTTGCATTCTCCTGAAAATTGGAAATATATTTTTATGTTCTCAACTGCATCTGATTTCGACGTGCTKCAAGGGATCTATTGTAGGCTTATATTGAGACTTTTCATCGACTTTGTATGTCATCAGAGGATAAAGGATAACTATATTATTTCTCGATACCTTTAGGACTAGCTCAAGTATATGGACCCTTCTCAAAAGAATCGTGGATGCAAGGCTGACGTGAAAATGCAAAAGAAATCACACTTTTTCTGGATGGAATTTGTGGCATTTGTTTTGTATTTCCATGTTCGCCTTGAATTCAAGACGATTTTAAGATAGGTCCATTTTGTGTATAAACTGCAATACATGATTGTTTACCTTGATGAAATCAACACTAGTAATGGGGCCTTCCTTCAGCTTGTACTTGCCCAACAAGCTTTCTTCCACATCTAAGATTTTCTGAAGCTAAAAACCGCACAAAAATCAGTGTTGGATAATGATTCAAACAAACTTGCAAAAAAAAAAAAAAGATGTAAATATGAAGTGAATGTTCCTTTTACCAGAAAAAAATTCAGGGATTACGATGGTATGTTCGTCATAGTTTGAAATTATATTGTGCGCGTTAGCTTTTATTTATCGTTTACTTCTCATTTGTGAAGTGAAGTGAGATGGATAAATAAAACCACGCGTCGTTCTCTTGAGAATAATATTTTTTGTTTTAGTAGTATCCATATTCATGTTTCATCTCATGCGCAACCGTTAAACAAAGAAATAATACTCTTTGACTAGGGAATGCAGGGGCGTAACCAGGGATCTTGCAGGGAGGTGCACAGGCGATGATTTGCAGAACCAAAAAAAAAAAAAGAAAAGAAAAAAAAGGGGGGACAAAAAATAAAAAATAGATAGCAGAACCAAAGAAAAAGAAAGCAGAACCAAAAGATAAAAAGGAATAATGGGTGAGTGATTCATAAAGATGCTACAATATGCAGATGGACGTGCACGTGCACCCTGTGCTCCCCCTTGTTACGGCCCTRGAATGACACGTSTTCTAAAATGGGAAAACAGTGGATAAGGTYTATTCTCTAAAATCGAACAAACGGAGATACAGCTATTTCATATAGCGAAGCTTTTGTTGYATACCAAGCCCGAAARTYCAAAACGATATTAAATTTCTTTTACTTAGTCTGCATAATTTCAGSTATATTTTCTTCTGTGCTGACGTTATTTAGRATAATTACAATAAAATTTATAATATRATACATTTCAAGCTTGGCAARAAACTTTCGACATGCAACATGTAATAAAACATTCACCAACCCTTTTTKAAATAGCTGTATAATGAAGTTATGGATAATACAWATTACATATGATATGAATGAGGAAATTATAAGGAGTAATAAAAAAAACGATAAGTGGACGAAGGGATGAATTGATCCAGCTATACTTACTTCTTGCATCTGGAATCTTCCATCGTGGTTTTCGTCGTACTGGGACAACACCTCTTGTTTAAATGATTCCAACTCTGGTGGTGATGGCTTCTATGAAAAAATAATGCGATTAAGGAAAGAAAGGAAAGGAGAGGAGAGGAGAGGAGAGGAGAGGAAAGGAAAGGAACAGAACGGAACGGAAAGGAAAGGAACGGAACGGAAAGCAAAGCAAAGAGAAACAAACAAAGCAAAGCAAAGGAAGGAACGGAAAGGAGAATAAAGAAAAGGAAAGAAAAGAAAGGGAAGGAAAAGGAAAAAATATGATCAAAGGCTAAACAACTTGATAACTGATTATGATTTAATGATGAATAATATTGTATTGAGGATATACGACTGATTTAAAAATATTTATCTATGAATTTAAATTGCTACCCCACTTAAAGCAAATACTAAAATAAACATAGATGATTATCATAATGATGATAAATATAACAGTCGTGATAAATAATAAAATAAATGATTATTATTTACAATATTGTAAAGGCCCCATTCGAAATCAACTAAGACTCACACAATGCTACTGAAGGACACCATTCAACGATTATATGTATAAATAATAAAGCTGATGCATGATGATGATGATTAATAATGAGAATGAGAATAAGAATGAGAATAAGAATGAGAATTTGATTTCGACATTCTGGTCATTTGTTTTGACTACTCTCATAGTTCTATTTATTTAATTGTTTTCGAATTTTGAAGTAATTTTCATGAAAGTGTTGCTAAATTTAAAAATTATTTTGGTAAGAAAACTCCGACATTTTGTTTAGTCTTAAGAAACAGGATGTTATTAGTGCAGGAGAAAGTTGTAATACCTATTCACTAACTAAGTATTGCCGGAACATTCATGGTAAAAYGCTTCTTTTATCTTCAACGACTAATTTGTCTTAAAAACCGGTATCTTCTAGAAATATGTACAAGTAGGCGTTTCGAGCGCGTGCGATTTGTCGGATTAATATTTTCCCGCCTTTTTGTCCCGGTACCGTTTCCGACTCTTTMCCTTCTAGTTGTTACGTCTTCATAATTTTTTATTATTTTGAGCCTCAAAAATACCCTAATTGAAAAAATGTGGCTAATTTCATCTCTCGTTTAATTATTGCATCAGTGTTCAGCCCTTTTTCTGTAAAATCAAATTGACTAGTTGTAATTGTAGAAAAATATATTTCATTTCATATCCAAGTTTGATTTATGAACGCGACCTTTTTTGGTAAAACCATCATTTCATATAGTACTAGTTTTGAAATACCAACAAGACGATAATTTTTCATTCTATTTTCACTTTTTTCCAAGAAAGTCTTGGTTTACAAAATGATTTATTTTTGTCCGTATTTTCAAACCAGCCATTGATATATGTTGATGTACTAAATTTAAAAACGGCCTGTACACTTAGTTAGTTCCGTGCTAAGRAGACCACAAATAGTTACACAATTCATTTAAAATTCCAAATGATTACCCGAGGCTACATGGAGTCAAGATAGTTTAAGTTTAAAATTATTTATTATTTAACACTGGTATTGTTCTATTCGTCGTTTGCAGTAATTTTTCTGTATCATTTTTTTTGACCAGCTCGACTCATTTAGTGTAGCTTTGCCATAATTACAAAATGCSACGAGAAAAGCTACAAATTTGGATTTGATCACTGAATATATTTTGAGTTTAGGCGCCTAGACGTCCCATTTCAAAGATTTTCTGGAATTCCTTTTAATCGTAATGGATTTTTTAAATAACAATATGGCCAGTACCGCTCAAGGAAATTGAAAGGACGAAAATAGTGCAAGTACGTCTGCGCATGCGCCAGCTCATCTGTGTAAACCAGATCAGGGCGGTGAAAAAAAAAAAAGAAAGATATTACAAGGCTTAAGATACAAACACTGAAAAGACCTAAGAAATTAGTTGAGAAATATTTCCTCTAACATTCAACTGAAAAATTGTTTTAGCGTTTAGCAATACATACACTTACTGAGTTTATAAGAAATACAATGTTTCCTGGTCAAGAGTGGACTTAATGTTCTCTTAAATATACTGTGTTTTATCAAGGAATTTACATTATTATGAGCCCGTAGTTTAACGCCCAGCTTCTTGGCGGCAACCAGTTTTTGTTGTAATCAGTCCACATTACTCATTTTTATTTCATTGGAAGAAATTCATTTACTATTCTCATGATTTAAGAAGCTAGATGTTTCGTGTTCCGCGTTCGTGTTTCCTCGCCGCAAAGCCAGTTGTTTGATCTTAAACACTTGCTAACGAGATTTAAATATTAAGTTTCAATAGCCATCGAGAGGAGCTCATGAATGATACATTAATCATTTTGTTTGTTTGTTTTCACAGCGAGATCATGAGAACCTTTTCAACGCGATCCATTTTGATCTTAAGATCGAGTGTTTTGCAACATTCAACGAACGGAAGATAAACTACTTTTTTTCGCCTGTGATATTTTTTTCTCATTAGATAAAAACCGATTACAGCTTTTTAAACACATTTGCTGAATTGGTGCTTTGTGAAAAAAGATGAAAAGACTATTAATTAATCTGTACATCCAAAAATAATATTTGCAGGGAATTTCTTCAGAAAGAAAATATCAGGTGTATTGCTCTAGGGAAAACATCCTACCCTCAGTGCTGACCAAAGTCATGGCACAGCTAACTCACACATTAAATTGGAATTTAGCGTGTGATGTTTTGCGGTCAAGGAATACCGGAGAATTCGTAGAAAACCATCGAATATCAATGGAGAGACCTATTGAGCATGAATTTTCCAAAAAAGACTTGTATTGGGTTGAGTTATTACGTCGTTCCGGTTTATTAGCAGAAATTACTTATAAGTAGATGACAAGCATTATAACTTGTCCAAAGACGTCACCTATGTAAAAATACCATGTTCAAACCTAAACGGTATATTTTTTCTATTTAGACGAAATTTTCTCCCGGAAAATGATGTTGATTTACAGCAAGTTTGTGGTTTCGTGCGCTATGAACTCAATTTACAGTTGTTTTTGGGTGAGTTTTTAATAGTTTACGTAGGGAAAGTTCGACTTGCCTTCTGTTGAGTCAAAAGACTATTTTTCAAGTCATTAAAGACAGGTTGAAGTGAGAACGACCTCTAATATTGCCGTCATCCTCTTGAGCAAAGCACGTGAGCGCAGGACATTTCCAGGAACGGTTTTCAAAATTTCTTCTGAGGCTTCTTGAGCAATAACCGTATGTTTGTTTTTGGTTTTTTAATGCGGCCTTAGTGATAGCACAGTAAATACTAAAGTAAGTAAATATCATTTGTCGATTGAGAATTTTAACTGGTGTTTAAGTAACTCAGGCTTTTGCCTTGTTATTGCTTTTCTTGCGCTTGTTTTTTAATCGCTTTTTCAATGGGAGAGTAGACCCTTTTGTATGCCATGCAAATCTCCAACAGTAATTACCATAAAAGCTGTGTTGTTAGAAACAGAGATATTGAACGCGTCTGGTTGAACAATCGYAAGAAAAAATGAGAAAGAGCTGGTGGAATATTCCCTTTTTTGTATTTCTTTAGTTTTTCCTTGTTTCTGCAAGCGTGTGGCTTATTAGCCAACCGAAGCAGCACGCCCCAGAGCTTGAACTAATCTCGTGCTGTTCAAAAATATCATATTTTTCCAATTAAGATCGCAATTGAAATTCTATTGAATGTAGCCAATTCAAAGTTGTTGTTCTTGACAAGGCGTTGTGTCCTTTTGAGGCATCTTCATGCGTCTTCACATCCGTTCGGCATTTAGACTTGATAACAGAGAAGGAAAACACTGGTTTTCCCCCCAGATAACTCATGAATGTCAGTCCTAAGTATTTAGTTCATTGATCCCTCGGGCTTGCGAGCAAAGTTGATCAACCGACAGTTTAGCCTTCGTCATTTTGTACAAACAATTTCATCATTTAAATTTCAAAAGGATACAATAACAATAGATCTAGGAGTTAACTTTCAAAGTTTTGCAAGATGTGGTTTTGATGGAAGTTATAGTCTTCCATAGCGAAGGATAGATTTGAAAATACGATATATAAAACTTAAAACTCGTACCTTTCCCTGCTTTTCCTCGTACATGACTTTTAGAAATTCATCCAATTCCTTTTTCTCAATGTATCCATTTCCTATAAAATATAATAGAAAAGAAAGATTAAATTTGCTCGAATTTTACAGCAGTAGCTGATCAATCTTCCRTTATTATACACGATATTTAACACTGTGATCGCGGAGAACAGTTTGATTATCAGGCWGTTATTATGCGTTATATTTCAAAGTTCCTTGCATTTGGTATATTATGCAATAATTCTTTTCTCACCATCGGTATCAAAAGAATTGAATATCTTCACAAAGTCTCGAGATGTGATTTTTCGGCTGGTGAGTCCTCTTTCTGCCATAGTGCTCTCTGTAGTCCTTAGAATTGAATAATCTTCTCCGAAGCCGGCCGTGGCTCTTGTGTTTATTATTATCTAACCTTGCGCTTGCGTATTAAGAGCGCGTTATGCAAATCTCCAACAGGTGTAAGTTCGGTTTGTTTCAAACCGACGGAGTAAATGAATAAGGACTCCGTGAAATATATCCACAGTCTTCCACTTTCTCCCTCATTGCGTCATTTATCTCCAAAATCATCACCTCTTGTCCTCAAAAATCGAATAAAATTTCACGCACAAGCCATTGTCGTGTGACAACATATACAGACTTTGGTAACTTGGTGCGAAATTGGTCAAGATAAAAGCTGCAAAATGCAAATTTATCTTATTTTCTTTCATTATGTAAATAAGTGCGAAAGASCGATGGATTTTGACAGTTGACGTTGAATTTGAAGCGTCTAGCGTCTAGCAAATACTTTATRATCTGCAGTCATTTTTATCGTAAAATAACAGAAAATTCGCGTCGGTAAGATATGCAGTACATTTATTTTCGGCTTCAAACCAGCAGCTTGGGCTATAGYAAATCTATGAATAATCAATGAAAGGCGAAAATCTTAGTCCATGAAGCAGCTGTCCCGCAAAAATACAAAATACATTAACCAATTCAATATCAACTATTGTATTCGGCCACCAAGGATTTTTCTCCTACAACAACAACAACAAAAAAAAGATATTAATTTGCAATAGACGAAGATACGACGCGATGCGAATTTTTGCAAGCATACAGATGTAAACATACGTCTCAGTTTTAATTGAATAAAAAACTGGTAGATAAGATAAGATAAAATAAGCGAAGATTCGTTTTTGCCTCTGGTGTAAAGATGTTAAATTTTTAACGGTATGAGAGGATGTGTTATTACGTTTTAATAAACGTGTTTTCGTATTTCAGTTTGGGAGAAAGACTTAATCTTACACACTAGAAAAACTTATAAAGCCTTCCAAACATTACCTTCAACACGTTCCAAAATTACTCACTTTTTTGTTTTTTTCTTCTTCATTTTTTCAGTTTTGTCGTAATATATAATGATAATTATTGGCTTGACTAACTGATGAAAAATAAAGATTTGGACACAAAAAACAATTTAAGAAAACAATTTTTATTTAGCTTATAGAATTTTTCATATCTGTTTTAATTAACTTGAATTATTTCTAAATATTAATATCAAGCAAAAATAAGATATTGCTACTTTGGAAGTGAATTAATAAATTTTTCAGGTGTAAATAAAACTCTTCAAAATTTAATCTCAAAATTTTATTATTTTTTTGTTTCGAACTATTGAAGATGCCAAAAAGTCGAGTCTTGAAAGCGTCGGGATTTTTCTCAATGAGTTTCACTTGATTGACAGTTATAATGTCCAAGTCTTTTGTGTGTATAAGTACTTCATATATCATAGTAATTTACCGTCATTTTTGGTTTTGTGGTCTTGTTCGACAACTGATCTTGATAGCAAGAGAATAAAATATTGAATGAGTTCGAAAAAACARAGGAAATATCAAGACTGGTGGGGAAATTTAAAAACATTTTTCATATTGTCTACTATAAAAAACTGCACTGGCATTGGCTGCCCCATAAAAATTCGGCTGTTTATATATTTACTTAGTTCGCTATATTATTCCCAGCCTTCGTCGTTTGGCAAATTGCAAATTGCACTGAAAAATTGCCAAATAACCAACATTTCAAGTCAATATATTTACTTATTTGCCTTAGTTTTTCCTCTATTCGTTTTGGAAATTGCTATGAACAATTTTCAACCATCTAACCAACATTCATGACTTCTTAAGTCCCTACATTTGTTGGGTCAAATGCYTGGGCCATTTGTCATGATCTGCCAGCGATGGTGGGAGGTAATTTTTTGATGTTGGATGAATGTTGGGATCATTTGTCATTCCAGTTTTTCCACTCTGCCTCTGCCACCAAACATTGGTCAAATGTTGGTTCAATTGTCGGGACGTTTATCAGGACATTTAAGACGTTGTCCTATAATTTTTGACTTGTTGATCATATATAATTATTTTCGCCATCTTTTTTCAGTAGTTTTGCAAATTGCTTTAAACGATTGTCAACCAACATTTCATAACTTGTTAGGACGTCGTCCCCAAAAATTTTGAAAATTTGATATTTTTATTTTTTAACATATTACTTAATTCAGTGTTGTTGCAAGGTGTTGTTAACAAACAACCAATYTACATTTCGTAACGTCTCAACTCGTTGCCCCATAATTTTCGACTTTATTGACATTTTTTTCATATTACTTCATTTAATTGTTGTGAATCGCTGTATACAATTGTTAACCTGCTAGGGGAACCTCCTTTTAGGACCGACAAACGCGATCAATTCAGCCAAAGGTGCCCTGGGGAAGGCTGTGCTGGGTGGCAAACAATCTTTTAAATGCTTCGTATCTTCGTGTGGATATGGCGTTAGTAATCCCACAAATAGCTTTTTTAAAATAAGGAAAGTCCGAATACTTTTGCCATCCAGTAGCCACTCGTCTCGCAAGATCTAGGTACTTAATTCACATCCTATGGTACTTTGCGATCAAAGATTAATTCCCCCTGCAGATATAGTTAACGCGTTTCTCATATTGTTAATTTCATTCATTCATTAATCATTAAGCTGTGAATAAATTTTCCCAGAGTAAAAACGTCTTCATAAATGACTACCAGTAGATATCCCCAAGAGCCTTTGATTAAGCTTTGATCATCATTATAGATTCTTCGTTTATCTTTTCTGATCTGGAAAAATAATTAAAAGCACCAACATAGCTCAAAACTAAATATAGACTTGTGCGAGAAACGAATCTCGTAAACAGATAAAGAAATATTCAAAACTGAAAATTAAGTGCAACTGTATTTTTTTACTTATCAGTTTATCTTTTTTATCRACTACTGATATAGTGGTAATAAAGTATACCACTTTTTTATAGCACCACTTTGGGTATCTTTGTTATTTTTATTTAAATGAATGGATGGATGGATGGGTGGG